ACAGGACAGCTGAAGAAGCCAGAAGGCTCCAAGAAGAATCGTTTTCAACCTCCTGCCCTTGGTGGCGTTTCACCTTGCGCCCCTCTGCTGCAGGGCAAGGGAGATCCCACCGGGCCAGCAGGACCCCATAGGGCTGGGACACGGAGGCGAGACACAGGGCCAGCACTGAGACAGCTTGTGCATCATTCCACAGCCCCCCTGTGCATCACCCTTCTCTCGCCTCACACCTCCACAGCCCCCCAGGAGAGCGGCAGAGAGCTGCCAGTGTCCCTCCTGCCGCCTCTGTTGGGTCATGCAAGCTCAGGTGGCTTCAGGGACTCTGCTCAGGTACCAGAGAAACCACTGTGTCTTCTCCCAGGTCCAGCAGGGACAAACATCCCCAACACACGGGGACAGCACAGGGGTCATGAGTCAGATACTGGAAGGGGCCTGAGCAACCTCTCCTCACCTGGCATCACATTCTCATCCCTACTGCATTTTGGTGCAGAGGCCTCACAAACCTTCCTCTGCTGCCAGAGCCTGGGAGACTCCCTGTTGCCCACACCGGATCTTCCCACAGAGCGCGCGGTCAGGACAGCAAGAGGCACGGCCCTTTCCAAACCTCTGCCCCACATTCTGCAGGAGAGAAACCTCCATGGCGTGCAGGGAGCACCTACCTAGCAGGACCTGCGGCAGCACAGGAGAGGCTAAAGAATTGTTGCCCTGAAAGCAGAACCTCCACACAAACCACAGCCCTTCCAGGATCCAAATGCCCCGTTTGGATCCCACTCGCACTGCAGCAACATCAACAGATGCAGGACAAGGAGGAAGGGGACACAGAAATACCCCTTCAGTCAGCAGCTGGGTGAGGATCAAACGTAACAGTTGGGAAAAGCTGTTTCTTTCATGAGGAGCCTTTTACCAAAGCAGGTTTCCTTCTGCTTCACCTTCCATGAATCCTGCTCCTAAAAGAATATGCCAAGGTGTCTGCGAGAGTAGACAGGGACAAGACCACGGCATGAGCAGCTACTACCGTGCTGCACCACCCCCTGCTTGGAGGCACCGCGCTCCTTTGTGCTGCGTAGGTGCATTTTCCCCCCGTGATTTATTAATGGCTTGCTTCAGTGAGAGTCATTAACCGCTGAGGTGTGAATGAAAAGCAGCACGAATGATGTGAGTCAGAGACCTTCCCTCAGAATCGACTTTATTATGCAACCCCACCCCGCTTTTTTTTTTCCCTTTCTTTTTTACAAGAACAACCGGAAGTGTGTTTTCAGGAGGCACAGAAGGCATCTCACAGGAGGGCAGGGATCAGCTTTGCCTCAGCTCTCGCAGTTGAGGAGGGCTGTCCTGGCTGGGGGAGCAGGTTGGCAGGCCGACCTTCTCTTCAGCCTTTCCAGAATGAGATGAAGTTCTATAAAGACACCATCCGTTCCACAAACGTCCCATCCTTTGGAGAAATCTGGCTTCCCCTCCTCTGCCTCCTGCCTTAACCAGGCTGCGGTATCAGCTCTCCTCAGCACGTGAGTCCGAGGCTCTTCCCACCTTCCTCAGCACACCCTGGAGCGGAGCTTGGCTGCAGATCTCACTGTCGGGGTTTTCCATCCCTGCAGATACCAGTCACTTGACCCCTCCCCTGCTCTGCCGTGCTGAACTGGCACTATGGTGGGAAATAGAAACAGACACACAGGCAGGCAGGTGTCATCAGCGGCGTCCCGACTGAACGCATGCTGCGACATGAGAGCTGTGTGCCTCCCCCCACATCCAGTTTCCCCCAGGGACCTAGAAATGGCAGAAGAGCAGAGACTAAGTCACTGCTCCCTCTCCTCTTTTACACGGAGAGTGCGGAGAGCTCTCACATGCCTAGGGGACCAAACAGGGAAACCAACGGCCTTCACAAAACAAGAGCCGTGCCATCTCCAGCCAGGATCCCCAACGGACAGGAAGAGCAGCGAGCTGAGCAGGTACTGTCCCCAAACCGCAGGGACTGCTCAAGGCCCGGCAGTGCCATGCTGACCCCCTGTGCCTCTCCAAGCCTCCCCACACCAGTGGGAGAACCGGTGCTCAGGAAAGATCAGAGCTTTAGGCAGG